TTTATGTATTGCTTTCACTATTGAAAGGTAAGTAAAACTGTAGTTTCTAAGAGATAGATTAAAGATGGGAAGAAACTGGTGGTGCAACTTACAGCCAGTCCATTGTTCTGCTCTTTGACCCCATTCCTGCCTGGGTGACTTATGCTCTCAGATGGAACGTAGCAGTAAATTACAGAAGAAAGAGCTTTCTGAAGGAATGCCCTTCTTCTACATTTGAGGGTTTTGGATTGAGGTCTAGAGAACACTTGTTCTTAAAACTGGACCGATAAATTGGATTGGTATCTGGAAAAACAAATATTTTAGAATTTGATCAGGTTTGCAAACAGTTTTATAAATACATCCTTTGTTTTTACATGGATGCTTTCTTGTGAAACATTTTACTTTTAAGGTAAGTTTGAAGTGGGTTCCATTTGTGTTGCAAGAGGAATGTATGATAAAAGCATGGAATGTGTCCAGTTCACCTCTCCTGCCAAATAAATTGCTTCTGTTGCTGGAAGAGAGAGGAGGCAATTCCCCCTTACCCCCCGCATGCCTATAAAATCTGCTCCTAAGAGTTTGGAAATATACCAGGCAGATTTGTGTTGTGGCATCTGTTTGCAAAGGGGAAAGAGGAGGAAAATATTTAATTGTCCTCTCACACCATGTTGGATTTCACCCACAGTGCTTTTCACTAACTCTTTGCTAAGACACTGCATGAGTTTTGGCTTTCTTGTGTGCCCAGCCTTAATAATCTGGAAATGATGCTGCATTTGTTATATTTAACACAAATTCATACTGGGGATTCCAGAGACCAGACATGGAAATACTAAATGATGATACATTTTATGATTATCATATTTAAACATTTTCTGTTGCTCCAGTAAATTCCAGCCTATGCATCTGAGTAACATCACACTGTCTTAAAACAAACTAAAACTAAATGTTGACACTTGCTGCATCAACCTCTTTCAACCTAATTTTCAGGAAAGAGGTATTAATTCATGCTAAATACTCTCAGCTCAATGGCAACAGTTGTTTGTTATTTTGAAGTATTTTCATGTCTTTATAAGTGAGCTTTCCCCCCTGCTAACATGCAGAATTAAGTTGGTTTTTATTTGCATCCTATTTTGCAATATTTATTTACAACTGTTTCAAGGTTAACAATAAAAGCCTTGGCTAAAGGGAAACTATCAGTGTGCTATCTATTGGTTAAGCACAACACAGTATTTCTTTTTTTTTTAATGTAGCTCTTTCAGAGAAAATGGTATTTTGCTGTTTATTTGATTTACAGTTCCTGAATGCCTGTCTGACAGATCTGTGTGACTCCTTGACCAACTAGAATAGATGTGTTGGTATATAAAACACACAGCTCTGTGCTAAACCCGTTATGTTATTTATGGAAATGTGCTTTTGCTTTGTGTTCCGTACACAAGCACACAAATGAGAAGATTAGGACCGCTAATAGGTTTTTCTGACATGCATGCGTAAAGGAGAAAATATTGCCCCCTTACCAGAGCAATTACAGTGCACTTGAGTTCAGGCAACAAATTAGTGGGAGGACTGTATGGAGGAGAAGGCAAGAGAAATTTAGTGAGCAAGGAAGTGACTGAAAATAACATCTCAGTGCTTCCTTGTACAACTTGACAATCCCCTTCTCGGTGCACTAAATCAATTTGTCTCCTATGCAATGATTTGCTTTGCTGTTATTTCTATGTCGGCAGATAAAATGTAGTTTTAGCTGCATGCTGACTGAAATAGCATCATACCTGATTTTATAATGAGAAAAGCTTCCCGTGAATTTAACTGACTATATCCCAAAGGAGGATTATAATTATGTGCCATCAAATCAATTCTGACTTCTGATGACCCATTCCAAGGTTTTTTTAGGTACAGTAGTTGGTTTACTATTTCCTTTTTATGGAGGCGTCCTGAGACTGTGCAGCTTGCTCAAGGCTACATAGGCTGACTTTTCTCCTGGGATGCACAGTGGTGGATCAAATTCCCAGCATCTGGTTCACAGCCAGGTACCTAACCCATGGAGCTATTTAGCCAGACTACCCCAAAGAATAATCAGAGAGGATAGAAAATTGCATTAGAGGTAGGGAAGCAGGCTTCTGCACATTCATGTTTGTTGGACAAGGGGCCATATGTGCCAATGAATATTGCATATATAGTTCAACAGCTTGATCCAGCAAACAGAATGGTATCTGCATAACCATGTCACCTAATGGCACTTGCTCCAGTCAGGTGTTGTGGAAGTGGAGAGAAAGCACCAGATTTAGCTCCCTCCTCCACTTCTTCCTTCTTACCAACCTTGCTATGACTGGTATGATCACAGCCTCAACTGTGGTGTCTGGTCTGTCTGCAGAGCAGTGTACCAGCTGTCTTAGCACTCAAAACTGTGGTAGAGGTCACAATTCCTTCCCATCAGAGAGCTGATAGGAGAGAACCCTATTGAAACAAACAAAGTGGTTATTTTAGTACACTTCCCTTAGAGGTTGAATGTTGCTTTAGTTTTGCAGTGGCATCGCGAGGGAGGAGGATGGGAACAAAATGCTGTCTACAGTTGAATATGGCTCCCCTTCCATTAGCCATTCTGACTTACTAGTCCTGATGGACTAGTCTTGATTGACAGCAAACCTGATTGTTGTATACCAGGGTTGCCCCAAGACATTCTGATGCCTGGAGTGAAAAACAGAGCTACAGAAGTTGCTCAAGCTGTCAGTTGAATTGTACTACAACACTGGTGGTAAGACAACATCTTCTGTCCTTTGCCAGGTAGGAGCAGGCTAGCTTAGTGGCTTCAGGGCATTCTGCCTGGAACATATGGAGGCAACAATAGCAAATGATCATTGTTTTACCCAGAGGTAAAAGATGAGGGGAAAGTTCCATACCCAGGTGTGCCCTTTCCAAAGGACAGCCCTTCTCTGTCCAACCTGAGCTCAGAGACTGCAGCTTGTGACCACACTCTCAAACAGAATTGGGATGCAGTACAAGAATTGCACTTCATTATAATAATGAAGATTTCTAAATGGATATGCAATAAATCAGTGAAATATATGGAAACAACCCAATACAATGAAATGAATACACAATTAGTGTATAGCCTACATATATCTTCCTTAGAAATCTGCCTTGCTATGTGTTATGTTACCCACCCACCACCAAATGTGGAAGTGCGTGGAAACCTTTTGAATGGAATAGAGATGGGAAGGAATATACGAAAGAGAGAAAACTCAAGATTTTCCAACAAGACAGAGAGGGAAAGGTTGTAGCTTGAGTGAAGTTTGTCTGAAAATAGCTTAGTGGAACTGTGAGAAAGGTGAGGAAAGAGGGGAACACATACCAGCTAGTACTTGCTCACAGGTAACGTAAAGGATGAGGAGTAAATGTTCAGGGGCTAGGTTTAGCTTTACCAAAATACAGGGAAGTAACAGAGAGAAAAGTGCTTTGGGTATATGTAGTTACTAGTCTAGAAATGAGAGTTTGCTGTCTTTAGGATGTTGGAGCCATAGCGATACACCAACTCAGTGCCAAAGCTCAGCTATGAATTAAGATTTGGAGTAAAATTATGCTGGATCAATCAAGATCTCAGTGTTGCATCTTTTTTGAAAAATGTATTCTTGTTGAAATGATTCCTAAGTACTTTTGCGTGTGACCACACTGGCCCTTTTGGTGCAGGCTGCTGCAGTCTACATAGGGTCACTTAAAGTCAGGGGAGGAGTGATACACCATTTGGCATGATTCTCACATCCAAATGGTAAACCTCTTCCCCTCTGGCATCCTCAAGGTTCCCAAGCTTACTGGGCAGTGGCTGGAAGCATCTTTCATCCTGATCTCTCCTTATTCTCTCCTGAGAACTTTGTACTAAGCTCCTGGGTCAGCAGAAGAGGACTTGTTCCATGTGGGACTTTAACTTGGAGTGAACTGCTGAATAGCTCAGTGGTTTAGGTATCAAACGTTGGGAGCTTGATTACTCACTGTGCCTCTTTCACAAGGGCTCGACTTCATGATCCATACGGTCCCTTCTAGCTCACTTCTATGATGATTATGATTTCTCTTGCACATTTTCAATGTTAAATTGATGTGGTGGTGTCGCAAAGATCAGATCAGTTTGACTTTCAGTAAACAGATCTGTCAGGTCCAAGGAAGTTCCCTCTTGGAGATGCAGGGGGATGGGGTTATTGGTGAGAACACCCCACATACCTTTTGCAAATAGGGAATTTGTGGATTTCTTTTGCAATTGAAGGGGTGAAGGGTTGGGCTGTATTTAGTGTCAGATTTCAGCCTGGTTTGATCTGTGTTTACTTAAAAGTAAGTCTCACTCACTTGCATGGTCTTGTTTTAGCAGTCTCAGAGCAAGATATTTAGTCTGTGCCTAATGGCCTGGAAATGGTCTAAACTAGAGTGCACCAAGCTGCTCAAAAAGGTGTAAGTTAGGGGGGGTTTTTTGACACAACTCCGGGAGGCAGTGGAAGATAGGAGGACCTGGCGTGCTCTGGTCCATGGGGTCATGAAGAGTCAGACATGACTAAACGAGGGCTTTCTGGGGAGAAATTGGACCACTCCAGTGAGTACGTTATGTGGTTGCCAGAAAAAAAAGAATGACCTAATTCACCATTGCAGTGCACCGAACAGTGGAACAAAGGCCCATTTAAACAAACTTGCATCCATTTTCTTCTGCCTTCTCATCCTATCTATATTAGATGTTAAATTCTCCTAGACTATGCTTATTGGTCGACTTGTTTGTTGCAAGCATGTAGTGACCTTCTATAGAAGGTGTATTTTATCTAACATTGTCCCACATTGCCAATAATTAGATGCCCGTTTATCCCATCTGCTGCTCACATCTTTGTTTTTCTGGCTTCTATTGTGCCATACTTTTTAAGGCACCAAGTTCTTGGAATTTAGTGGCCTTATAGTTTGAGGGGGGATTATATGCATTGGACAATATTTCTGCATCGAAATGCTGAAGCCCATCTGCCTCAAATATAAATATTCTTTACTGTACTTTTCCACAGTTTGCGATGATGAGTGCACTGGAGTCCTTCTCCGTGATTTGGATCAATTAAACCAGATGGCTTTGAGTGTCAATCTCAGTGGCCCGCTTCATCCACCATATAAAATGCTTTATTCTTTTGAAAATACAACCAAAGAGTTGAAGGTACAGTAAAAACTATTACCAGCTTTGGATTTTGCATGCTGATGCACAGACCAACACACATATTTTCATCAGCAGGTGTTATTGTGTTTAAATTTGAGGGGGGAAAGATGAATGAATGGTTTAATTACTTCAACAATGCTGCAGTGGCTAAACAGTTACTGCAGTTAATTATTGGGAAGGATAATAAGCAAACTATGCAGTAGTAATTAATGTTTATTCTCTTGGTCAGAAGGAAGTGAATTGTAAAAATAAGTGTTGTGAAGTGTGTACATTAATGCAATGATCATAAAACTTGGTAAAACAAAACAGGCACTGCATACATTCGGAACTGTTATACTCAACCATGTATACACACTTTGTCCTCCTACACAGAACTGTTTAAATAAACAGCTTCTGATGTGTCTGTAGTGACAATAATTGAGGTCAATAGGGAAGTTCCATGGAGCAGTGTAAGAAAACTATAATGTTTCCCTTAATTACCCTGTTTGCCTGAAAATAAGACCTAACCTGAAAATGAGCCCTAGTAAGATTTTTCAGGATGCTCATAATATAAGCCCTATCCAAAAATAAGTCCCAATTAAGTAAAACTCCACCCTCTACCATTGTCTAGCAACCAGAAGAAGATAACATGACTGTATTTGAATAAATGTAGATTGTTGTGCATGAAAAAAAATAATAAAACATCCCTTGAAAATAAGCTGTAATGCATTTTTGGAGCAAAAATTAATATGAGACCCTGTCTTATTTTCAGGGAAACATGGTATTTCTGAATCTATAATGTAAAATGTTTATCTTTTTTTAAGCATTTACTAGCACCCCAACAAGCACCAGAAAGACGCCTTCGATTGGCTCAGAAGAATTTGGATGCTCTCGTGACAGAGATGGATGAGCTTTTGACAAGGGTAAGCCCAGGAGGTGAATGGGTAGACATTGGAATTCAGTTTAAAGAACAATTTCAGGACCTATTTTTATTTTACTAGTATGAATGGTCAGCACTTCCCTAAGACTCCAAACCTGCTATTCTGGTAATGTCTGTATATAGGAAGCCAAGCAGAATGAGTTGAAATCATGTGGAATATGTTGTATACCATGGCTCTGATGCCAGTGGCACAGTCTGTTCTATTTTAGTCTGAACTTTTCAGAAGTTATCCAAGGTGATAAACTCTAACCCAAAATAGGTTCAGCATCATTGTTAGGTTCTTTAAAGTTCAGACTAAAACATATTCATTATCCCACTGACATCAGAACTACCAGCCTCCACTGCATGTCACCATACCACCCTGAACATACCAGGCCTTGTCTGATTTCAGATGCCAAGCAATGTCAAACCTGGTTAGCACTTGGATGGAATATTACTCAGTAAATATGAGGAACTCCTAAGTAGGGATAAGAAAGACTGCTGCTTGAAGGCCTGGAGAGATGCTCTTAGTCAGAGTTGAAAATGCTGGTTCATATGGACCACTGCTCTGCACACTAGGTAGCTTCTTACAGTCCTTTAAAAATGTGGATACACCCCCATTTTAATGTAATCTGTGCAGCAATGTAACATAATAATCTGGTGATATTAGAGCGGGCCATTAAAGAGAGAATTTTTAAATATTAGATTATAGATTGAAGAATTAAAAATGAATCTTTATTTGATGGATGTTGTAGGTTTTTCAGGCTGTTTTGGCCATGCTCTGGAGGTTTTTCTTCCTAACATTTCACCAGTCTCTGCGGCTGGCATCTTCAGAGGACAAGAGTTAGAACTTTGTGTTCTGGTGTAGTGTGTGGGATAGTTGAGTATTTGTAGCTGTGGGATCAGCTTTTTGTCCTTTTCAGGACAGAAGAAGGACTAGCTACCCGGAGACTCTTGCAGAGTGCGGGCAGCATACAAGTCAAATAAATAATTAAATAAATAAATAAAGCTCAACAAAGTCTGGTTCCCAGCACTGAAAAATACAGCCTGCAAAAAGGTCAACAAACTCTACCCAGCCACAAGGACCGGTGATCACTGCACACAAAAGACTAGTTAAAAATACCCATTAATCACAGTGACAGGTCATCTCCCCCCCCCCTTATCACAACAATACACTAACAACAAAAAACACCCTGATCACCATAATCTGCTGGCAAAACATTAGGAAGAAAAACCTCCAGAACACGGCCAAACAGCCCGAAACACCTACAACATCCACCAGATCCTGGCCGTGAAAGCCTCTAAGAATACAAATCCTTTACGTATTTGTTAATTGTATCAAATTTTCATCTGGGTACCAGCAATATAAGAATATAATAGAAAACAACATCTGAGTATGCTTTCCTTAAAAGAACACGTTTAGATAAAAGCACATCTTAAACGGACCTCAAGTCCTTGCTGCTTTTGAGCCAAAGGAAAGAAAAGGAAAATGTCTTTTAGACCATATTCTCCACTGTTGAACTTAAGCATCTTATTACTAATAACAAAACAAGACAAAACAAAATAAAAAAAATTAAAATACTTGGAGGCTTGCAAACGTCTAAGTTATAATTATGTGGATGAAATCAACCGAAAATAAGAACAGCTAAGTGTCAAATTTTCTCAACATGCTATGCCTCCTTTTCTCTAAATAAATACATGTTTTTCTCTCAACACTTGAAGACTTCTCTTCTCATAAAAGTGTAAAGAATCCAGTGAAATTAAGTTGTCCACCTTTTCCAAATTAGGCTGCAACTGCAGTGGTAACTTGCTTCGCAGCCTATTGTACACTTCTGTTCAGATAAGATGATCACATGAAGACCGCTGATCGTTTTGTTGCCCGTATCCACACTGGCCCCTCTATCAAATGCAGGTTGATCCATGCCACAGGCCAAAGCCCCTCTTCTTTTGATCTGGCCTCTGTTGATTTTCGGCTCTCCTTTTTTGTTGTTGTGAAGCCAGTGGACTGTTTAAAATGTTACATGGTGCTAGAGGAAAGGGACAATTTTCCATAACATACAAACACATACAAACGTGCCACAGAAAGACAGCGATCTGCTGTAGTTCATCAGAGTTGTTTCTCTTTCATGTCAAATTTTACCTTTTTTATTGCCCATGTAGAGGTGATCTACTGCTAAACTAACGTATCAATGCAGCGAAAAGGTGATCTAGCACTAAACTCAGTAGTTTGTACTGTATTTAAAAAAACTTTTTGGCATATCCCCTCCTATGGAGGTAGGCTGGGGAATAAACTAGTCTTAGATATAATTGTGGATATCTAAGCTGCCCTAGAGTTCCTTCCTATTTATTCATAGACCAGTGAGCCATATCATCAGCATCCTAGAACTGCAGATCTGGAAGGGACTCTATGGAACATTGAGTCCAGCTCCTGTCAAGGAAGCACAATGGGGATTCAAATTCCAAACCTCTGGCTCTGCAACCAGAGGCCTAAACACTGAGATATGCAGCAGTTTAGTATGGTAAATTATCTTGATCCATAACAGCATATCTGCTTTCTTAGCGAGGGTACCCCCTGAGTGGCATGATGTCTCAGAATGTACTATGGCAACTGAGATAGATTTTGGTGCCCCAATGCTCTGGCTAAAAATGTGTGTTGAACAGATCCCAATGCAGTAATAATTGAAAGACCCCATACTGGGGGTTAAGCAAATTGTCAATCAGCTTGCTTTTGTTTGGCAATTGGTTATCAGGAGATAAACGACAAGCTTCATTTGAATGTTGTTTGTTTAAAGCCAGCTGCTTTGAAGAATATGTCTTTGAATAAAATGGTGGGGCTACCATCTCACCTACTTGTGTGCAGAGTATAGGCTGAAATTTACTCTCAGTTTTGATAGAGGTTTTTGTGTGGAAAGAATATGTCCCCCTTCTCTAAGAGGCAGGCCAAGCTGTGGGAATCCTCCTCTCATACTGAACTGCTGCCAACACTGTTCTGTTCATTCTAGGCCTTGAATGACAGAGATTCCAAAGCCTTTTGGTTTTTAATCTAGAAAGAGAAAATACCAGAGCAAGTTCAGCTTTGCTTCATATTCATGCCTTCTGTGTTAAAGCATGTAGCATGAACAATGTGGCCTTCCAGGGACAAATCTTTCCACTATGTAAAATTATTTAGTGAAATCTCAGAAATAATTAGTTATTAATATTAATTAGTAACAATTAATTAAATAATTATGTAGTCAAATAATCAAATGCCAAGCTTTATTAAGATTAAAGTTATGGAGAGAGTGAGAAACTCAGGTAGAAAAGAAGGTAAAAGGTTCCCCTTGACAATTTTTTGTCCAGTCGTGTCCGACTCTAGGGGGCGGCGCTCATCCCACTCTTCAAGCCATAGAGCCAGCGTTTTGTCCGAAGACAATCTTTCCGTGGTCACATGGCCAGTGTGATTTAGACACGGAACGCTGTTTACCTTCCCACCGAGGTGGTCCCTATTTATCTACTCGCATTTGCATGCTTTCGAACCGCTAGGTTGGCGGGAGCTGGGACAAGCGACGGGTGCTCATTCCGTTGCGTGGATTCGATCTTACGACTGCCGGATCTTCTGACCCTGCAGCACAGGCTTCTGCGGTTTAGCCCACAGCGCCACCACGTCCCTTAAAACTGCTCTTTAAATTGGGATAGGGAAATATTTTTGGGGTTGGAGGCCTTGAATAGTAGCAAACACTTGTGGTTGAGAGGCAGAAGCTGGCTTGGCCTATGTGGTAAATGTTCCCCCATCCCAGTTCTGTATACCAAACAATCCTACAGAAAAATAAAATCAAAACCATATTTGCAAGGCACAAAGGTCACCCCTGTTATTTCAAAGAGGGTGACAAAATGACATCAGAGAAGGTACTAAACTGCATGCAAGATACACCTTTCTTCCCCTGTTCAACTCAGTGGAGGGAGTTGTCAGAAGAACAGAATCCACTGCTCAGGTGTGGCTGGAGCAGTTTGAGACACAGAGTATGTACACACAGAGAAAATGACCAGCAATGCTGGCCATTGCCAACTGAAAATAGTACCTTTGGATCAATTGCTGAATGGTAAATTAACACTTACATAAATACCACTGAGTCAGCAGGTCTACTCTAGTTGGGTCTAGCAATAGGATACTGTCCCCAGTTGAGTTGAATTCATATGTGCACTGGGAGAGATGTACTTCTTATTCCTGGTAGATGAAAGTCTTTGGGCAAGGGCTCTTCCTCTTCATCCTGAAGGTGCTTGAAACATGACAGGAGGGCTGTCCTAAAATGGACCCCTAAAGCTGTTGTGTCAGGTACAATGGAATTATGAAGGAAGGGGATTGTACTGTTTTCCCCAAGCCCTTCCTTTGATTCTATATATTGAAGGATTTAGGCTGTTTTTATATCTCCCTAAGAAGCAACTCAAAGAGACAGAAAAATAGAGTGAGTGCACAGTGGCAATTTGTCACACACATACACAAAAGCCCTTTCTTTTCATGCAAAGGTTGCATGGTGACAAAGTAATGAAAGAAAAGACAGAAAAAAAATTAAGTCTGCCACTGTTTTGTCATGTTATCTGTATTACTATTTTATCTGTAGTACGATTACTATATTATTATTACAGTTATTTTTTATCTGTATTACTAAAAGTAAAAGCAGTTTGATTTATTTCAATTTAAAATCTAACAGCAGCACAGCAAGAGAAAGAAGATTCTGTGTTAAAATCAAATTTTGGTTATGACAAGCTCTGCTGAGCAAACTTCATTTAGAAGGGAGGGAGAAATGTGTTATTAAAACACTATTTTGTAGGAGGTAAAATCCTCTTGAGATGACACCTCTGGTGTTTGCTATTTTATTAGTGAAAACACCAAACTGCTGAAATTGGAATTTCATTAGTTAATCAAAGGGAGGATTATATCAATATAAAGTGTGACACCTAGTGGTGAAGGAATCTGAACAGAAGAACACGTTTATGCAGTGATGAAGTTCAAATGGTTTTTGGTAAACCATAAAGGCAGAAGCAGTTGTTGCAGACAGGGCATAATTAGAGCTCAAGGCATTTTAGTGTTGGAGAGACGTGACTGAGCAGTCTTTCTGTTGAAAGAATCTGTCTTGCAAGCATGTCTTTCCAAGCCACACATTTCCCTTCCCAATATTAAGAAGCAGATTACCAATGAGTGGATGTGGCCACTTATGGTAGGCCTGATTGAATAGAGTGGAGTTTGCTCTCAACTAAATGGATATCAGAAGGCTGCCTCAGCAGGTATACTGTCTTATGAAATTGTCTGTGGTCTCTTGGGAAATAAAGGGAAGAATCTTCCTTCTCCCAAACTTCCCAGGACTTTGGATAAGGTGCAAAAGTATAGATCATTACTCATCACATTGCAAGATATGACTGATACCCAAGTATCAACATATGCACACCATTCTAAATTATGACTTGGCAGATGATACATGTATTCATGTAGAGCAGGGGTCTCCAAACTTTTCAGCCTGAGGACCACATCATATATTTCCCACATTTTCTAGGGACGAAGGAAGACACAAGCACCCACGCGTAAGCACGGGCTGAAGGAAACAGATCTGAGCCTGCAGACCTGAGCCCACGACATTTGCTGGGCTGGATAAAAAGACAAGGCAGGTTGGATGTGGCCCACAGGCTGTAGTTTGGATACCCCTGATCTAGAGTTATGAGTGCTTTTTATTGAAACTGGTGCACTTAGCAGAGGTTCTCTGTCACCACCTTCTGCCCCCCCCCCCCCCCCGACCTCAACCCCAACCACTGAGAAGCTGTTTACTGGCTCTTACCAGGGATCATTGTCCCATTCTCAGGCTGTCTCTCCAGTCACACTGAGGATGGGTTTCTGCTCCTCTTATGCAGCCATGCAACTCTCCCTCAACTCATCCCCCAGCAGGTGTCTCAAGCTCTAAGGAAAAGACTAAGCCTTCAACCCTGTCCTCCTTTAACCTTCTCGATGGGCCCTCCTCCCAACGTGTCAACTGTTGCACAGCTCACAGCTCCCTGGAGACCCCTGGGATTCCCTCCTCCCAACTTTTCCAAGAGCCAGGGGTGATTGCTGTACCCAGGGTCTCAGGGGTGTGAAGGGGAGAGCAAACAGCATACCAGCAGCTGATGGTGACCCCCTTAAAATGGGCTACACAAAATACAAAGAATAGTTTTTTTTCCAGTAAATAAAGAGTACAATTCTTTTATTTATTTCTTTTGTTGTAGCAAACTGAATGCTCATTGCAGATTTTACAGCTCCTTTTATGTTTGTACAGAGACTTCTCTGCATATTTTATTCATTTTATTTAAAACATGTCTACCCTATCTTTCTCCTTTAAAGGTGGCTTACATCATTATATGTTCTGCATGTTCATTCTGCAATGAAAAAGTGCAGTGGAAACAAATAACTTTTCTTTAAAATAGCTTCAGAATGAACAAAATGAATGAACTCTAATTGTTAGAGTTTAGAACTAAATTACAACTAAAGTAATCTCATTGGCTAAAATCTAGTAGAAATTTACAAGTAGGCCCATTGAATCAGTGGGGATTGCATGAGTCATTTCCTCCATGAGGTCCACTGATTTCCTAGGCCTGTTCTAGTGGCAACATTACTGGATTTTAGCCATTGAATCAATAGGACTTAACAGGTTGATGTAAGAGGTCTCATTCAATCATTGGGTCTGCTTTAGTTGAGATTACCACCGGGATTCACTTAATTTAGCAGGTGCATTTTAGAAGACAGCATGTATAACTGTGTCCCTGAACTGCTGTATAGTTCAGTCATTCAGATATCCAGCTGCTGAACTAGAGGTTGAAGGCTTGATTCCCCACACTGCCTCCTTAACAAGGGGCTGAACTCAATGATCCTTAGAGTCCCTTCTGGTTTTGTAGTTTATTAACAGATTGTACACATGATTTATGCATTCCCAAACTCTCCCTCCAGGATCAAGTGAATAATACCAACTGCAAAATCCTGTATTTACAAAGTACAGTAGATTCTTTTAGTAAACATGTCAGTTTTTAAAGACCATTTGAAAATTGGGTTTTTACTCTTTCAGTAATGTGAACAACAAAAGCAAGGTGAAACCAAGCAAACCTGGAACCTCTAAAGCATCCACTTCTCTGTGTGTTAAGAGAAGAAGAGGGGCAATGTACAAAGGAATGCATGAAATTACAAGCCTGCCATTTAGGATCATTCTCACTTGTTCATTCTTGTGCTAGTGAATTGTGTTAGCAGTGGTAGGGAGGACATGAAATTTGATGGGGAAAGTGTCTCTCCCACTTATGTGCAGTTGTCCCAGTACAGAACATGGCTCTGTGCACTTATCTGGCAGTTTTTTAAAAATGCTCTTAAACTGAACACACTGTATTTATCATAGCAGGTTAGTTTAGCTCTACAGCTTCAGATGGAAACTATAGTGCACAACAGTTCAAAATTGGATACCGTATCTTGTAGTTGATAAATTATATGCTAGTGATAATTGTGTAAAACAATCTGTGAAATATATATATTAAAAGTGTGTTCTGGAATGTAACATAGTTGTTCTTCAGTGAAATTGAAATCAATAGTATTAAAGTGCTTAATGAAACTGTATGGTCTGTATGGGGTTTCCATGCTTTTAATATGGCTGAAACCCTACATGTTTTTAGAATTAGATCTGTGAACAAATTCAAAGAATGTCAGCCAGAACTTCTTTACACCCTATGTCTTCTACAGTGCTTTCCAAGAATCAAGAAGGAAGCTTCTGATAGCTCTTTAATGGGGGAAGCAGTAATAAAATGTAATTGTGTACTTGGGGAAAAGTGTGTGCCACTTCCAGTATATCTGATCAATAATTCATTGATTACCTTTTGCTTGAGGTAAGGTTTCCAAGTAGATTCAGACAGATGGAGTATCTCCTTGTCATGTTCATTAATTACACTTTCCTTTAATCTGTACTGCTAGGCGACCAAGGTGACAGCAGATGGGGAGCAAACCAGACAGGATGCTGAGACAACTAATGAGAGAGCAAAGATGCTTGGACAGTTCATCAAGGGCACCCTCCAGGCTGCAGAAGGTATTGGAGAAAGGGAGGGGAAATGCCAATAGCCTCTCAAGTAAAGTGAAGCAACATGTTTTAAGACTAATAGACAAGAAAGTTCATGACTTGAAAGGAATTGGCTCCTTAAAATGCTGGACTTGTTAAATTAGAGAAGCTGCAGCCAAATAATTGCAAACTTCCTGAAATCTAAGGGGTACCATTTTCTACAACGGTTGGTGGATTGGCAATTATGAGGATAGAGAAACAAAAATTAGAATGTGTTCCTTCAGGAATGTTTTAAGTTCTTGAGGAATAGCTGTTATGATTAAATAACTTCTGTTTTGCTCTTGTTTATTTTGAAAACAGTAAAAAAAATCATCTGGGAGAATAAAGAAAAAAAAGCACTTGTAATTTTAGCTTTGTGTAAGGTGCATTAAGAGAACATCTTTAATTTCTCGAAACGGCTTTAAAAATACAACACCACATGCTGTTAATGAAATCTGCTTCCGAGTGGGTGCAAGTTACTGCTAGCCAGACATGAGTCCTGAGGCTCAGCAAGCTATGTTCCTATAGAAAATTTGATTCTCTGAACTTCAAAATGCAACCAAGAACTATTTTGAGGTGACAGAAATAGTGGAATACTGCATATGAATAATGAAAGACTGGACAGAAGTGTGATGCCATATTTTAAAGGATTTCATAGCCTACTTTTTTCCCTTCAGTTTCTCTTCCTTGTCTATTCCCCTCCTCCAATCTCAACAATCATCTGTGAATTCACAGCAGCCTCATATTCAAAACCTTTAAAAATAGATTTTAAAAAGTTTGATCAGCTTTAGAATGATATGGGGTCGGTAAGAAGAAACCAGGTTGATTACTCCTTTCTTTAAAAAAACAGCTGGGCAAAATTAAAGGGATTTGTGAAGGAGGCATCATGAAAACTGAGCTGAGGAGCAAAAGCCTCGATGCAACTCCTGTTTGCACACGTAGTTCCTTGTCCAAAGACATATACTGTATGTGAAATGGACCTTAGACAGTTCAATACAGGTTTTACAGCTTGTCAGACACCAACACAATATATAGTTCTGTTAGCTTTTCTAGTTCTTTTGGTATATTTATATTCTTACATTGCTGCCACCACATAACAAATGTTTTCTGACTTGCTGACAGACAAATAAAACAGTAAAATACAGTATCAAAATCATTAAAAACTAGCAAAGCTGAAACCAGTTAGAACCCAAAATTTTAACTGATGGCTAAACTACATGCTACATTAAAATATGCCATGTGCAGTTAAAAAATTCTTTTACATTTACGTGTCATTGCTAAATCATGAGCAATTGTAAAGAAATCTAAACACCTTCAATTCCTGCTAATTTCAGTAAAATGTTTTAATACACGTTACAGTGGGGTCTCTACTTAAGAACGTCCCTACTTAAGAACAATTCCACTTAAGAACAGCTCCATTTGCTAAATTTTGCTTCTACTTGAGAACAAAAATCCAGATAAGAACAGGAAAAAAAAACTTTCCTGCTCTTTTTTTAACCTTAGGTCATCTTAGGTTAAAAAAAAGTTCTCCCCCTAGTGGTAGAGTACGTATTAACCAGCTTTGCATTAGTTCCTATGGGAACTAATGCTTCAATGTACGAACACACCTCTACATAAAAAAAACAGCCAGAACGGATTAATTGGTTTTCAGTCCATTGCTTCAAAATTAGCTTCGTCAGAAGTGCTTTTAACACTGTTCCCTGACCTAAGGGGAAAAAAAGAAAAATATCCCCCTCTAGTGGTAGAAGGCGGAATAGCAGCTTCCCATTAGTTTCTACGGACGGAAAAGAGCAGATACGGATTAAATGGTTTTCAATGCATTCCTATGGGAAATGCAGATTCTACATAAGAACTTTTCCACTTGAGAACCACCTTCCAATACGGATTAAGTTCTTAAGTAGAGACCCCACTGTAGTTGCTCTATAAAATTTAATGGGTGTTTTCTTAAAAATCAGTGGCTGAAATCTTGTTCTTATACACAACAGGCATAACTCCTGAAACCAAATTGCCCCATGTGAAGAAATCTTGGTAGATATTATCTGTTGCATGCCAAGACAGATAAGTTGTCATTAATCTTTCCCATGTATTTTTCCCAGTCCAGCTCCAAATAAAGGTAGCTTCTAAAAAACAGTTTTGTTTTTAAAAAATATGCAAACTTTATTATCATAGCATTTCCCTTCTCTCCAAACTTTCCCTGTATGCATTCTCCTGAGGTAATGGTCTCACTTCTCTTCCTTCCTTCTTGTAAAAACTCAAAATTGGATAAATATGATCAAAGTCTTCCTGGAGAAGTTGTTTCCCAGCTGTGTTGCATGATATGCTTCAAGTCAGTGTTCTTTCATCTGGAGGTTGTAAGACTTGAGCTTCCAGAGGTCTTAGCCAGGAAGGTAGTGGTCAGGATTTGAGAATTTGTAGTCCCACAGCTAGAGATACAGTGCACAATTGGGCACCAGTAGACACCAAGGGGATAGAAGAAACTGGAATGTCATACATTTTTTATATGTACTTCTGAGTATACCTTTAAATGAAGAGCAGTATGGTTATAAAGCATGATATTTTCATATTGATTACTAGAAACTAAATGGATGTCTCATTGTGTTTCAGATCAGGAAAATAGACTTGAAAGTTCCAATTCATTTAATAAAAAGGTTGAAGTGAATATGATGAACTTTTTCTGCTCTTCTGTTGATGTACCTAATTGTCTTTTTTTTTTTCCCCTTCAGCGGCAAATGATACTGCATTAAGATTAAATGAGACACTTAGAGCCCCAGACAAGACCTTAGACGTAAGTTTGCAAGAAATACAGGGTGATGTTGACAAAATGATGTCAGAGCTCCGGAACAGAAAACTGGACAGGCAAGAGGAGGCAGCCCAAGATGAGCTACAGTGAGTAATGAAGCCATAAATATAGAATAGTTAGTGTATTTCAGTGTGCTAGTTCACAATCAAATGTCAATGGAATATGACATTTCAGTAGCAATTCCAGTCCATTCATTTAAGCAATGGAAATGTGAATAGTAAGAAAAGTTGATTTTCCAGATCAGTAATTTTATATGCATCAGAAACAGCTCAAACCTGGGAGGTATCTAAATGTAGGGTTGCATGGCATCTTTGGATGCTCAGAGTCTCCTGAGTACACCTGCAATGTTGTCAGAAGCAGCAAGTTGGGGTGGGTGGGGCTTCATTTATAATGGAAAGGACTTTGCAGAGCCTCCTACGTAACTTCAACTTTTCCTGGTAGTCCCCAAACAATCCCAAAGCTTCTCCTGAGGATCAGAGACCTTCCTAAGTGGCATGTGCTGTGGTGCAAGACAGCAAGGGTGAAAAATGGAATCTCCTTAAACTAGGCAGAGATGGCTTCTGGTGAAAGTGTCCCCACACAGGAAAAGCAAAGCAAAAGTGTGCTGCTTATATACTGCCCCATAGTGCTTCAAGCATTCTCTGGGCAGTTTACAAGTTAATTATGCAGGTTACACATTGCCTCCCCCCCCCCGGTGACTGAGTACTCATTTTACTGACCTTGGAAGGATAGAAGACTGAGTCAGCCTTGAGCCAGCTATCTGGGATTGAACCCAGCATCCTGAGAGACTCTTCCCATACTTCTTATAACTTTTTTGAACTGTTGCCGTCTGGCAGAAGATATAGAACAATTAAGACTCGGACCACACGTTTTCTGAATAGTTTTTATCCCAGAGCTATAATTGCACTTAATAATGAGCTTAAAGACCACCAGTAGTGAAT